CCTCCCCTCCCTCTCTTTTTCCCTCCTCCACACTCTCTCTCCCCTTTGCTGGGAACATAATTCTTGTATCTCCTTTTCGTTTGGGAATCATCTTTGTTTTCTTATCTGCTATACCTTATCTTTCCCTCCCTACTACCAAACTGGCTTTTGCTTCCGGTTGCAAAGTTTTCAGGCACAATCTTCCACAGGACTTCTCTCATTTCTGACATCAGCTACAAGTTTAGGGTTTCCTGAAATAACCCTCAAGTTCAATAATTTGCTGCAAGGACTCACAGAACTCACTGAAGGCTGTTATACTCACAGCTATAGTTTAATGCACGACAAGGATACAGATCAAAGTTAGCCAAAGGGCAGAGTCTGGGAAGTTCCAAACATGAAGCTCTGGTGTCTTCAGGATGGCATCTACGTGTAACAGAATGTTGTCAGTCATGAAGCTCACCTGAACTTTGGTGTCCAGAGTTTCTGTTGGGGTTTCATTATGCAGGCATTATTGATTGATTGCCTCAGTGGTTGAACTCAGTCTCTAGCTCCCCAGTTCCCCAGGTCTGGCCGATAATCACCTGGCCAGAGGTCCACCTTGAGTACTTCATTAGCATAAACTGTCAGGTGTGGCTGAGAAACCCACTGTGATTAATAAAGACAACCTTTTCACTTGAGAAATTTGAAGGGTTTAGAGGTTCCCTCCCAGGAGCTAGTGACAAAGGTCAGACATTTCTTAGGGCAAGACCAGATTCTTTACCATACCTACCTTTCCTGTAGCACTTACACATCCATAGTGTCTGTTTTCTTGTTTGTCCTCCCACTGGTTGAAAACAGTTTGAGGCAAACTGACAGGCTGTATAATGGAGTGGATGCCTTGGGGTCAGGCTGCCCGAGATGTAATCTCAGCTCTGCTGTGACCTTGGGCACAGTTAAACTACTCTGCCTCAGTTTCCTGGTGTATATGATGGTGTGCAGGATAATACCTCTTCGAGAGGGTTGGTTTGAAGATTAAAAGTGACAATCTATGAGAAGTGGGTAGAGCAGTGCTTGACGCATAAGTATTCATTAATGCAACTATTATGATCACTGCATTTAATATTACATTTCCAGTGTCTCTTATAGATTTAGGCTTATAGGAAGCATTCAGTAAATATTTATTGAAGGAATAAGTAAACGCATCCTTTATGAATGATTGGTGCCCTTCTGAGTAGCAGTCTGTACTGTTCAAACAGCTACATTCCTAGACTGACAAAGCTAATGGACTTTTTAGATATACACCCTTGTTCCTCATTATTTGGAACTAAAAATATACCAAAGCATGTTTGCATTTGGATTTTTCCATTATAAAGACTTCATTTTTCTCTCTTATTTCCATGCAGTGGCCAGTTTGGCAAAGCCTGGTACATTTGCTGGCAATGATGCAATTGTAGCCTTTGCAAGAAATCATCAATTGAATGTGGTGATTCATCAACTTAATGCCCCTTTGTGGCAGGTAGGTCATCTATTCAAGAGTTTATCTTAAGCTCTTCTTTATAAATTAGCTTTGGGAATGTCCTAAGATGACGGGGCATGACCTGTGTTATTGAACTATACAAGGTAACTTGTACTGCAAGCCTAACCAAAGACCAGAAGCTTGCGGTGGCTCGGGATTAAACCCTGTGCCATGTTCAAGCGGAGTCTGGAGTATAATTCGGAAACCTTTAAAATGCCAGAAATATTATTCAGCAGTCAGTTAATTGGGTAAGTTGGAGGCAGAGAACCTAACGTGAAAATACTACAGATAAGTCGGTAAAATATCTAAGTGAGAATTAAAAGGATTAGTGCATACAGATTTCTGTTTTGAAGTGTGCCTAGTCCCACATGTATGTTCGTGTTTTTAGGTGGAAGGAAACAAAGACCAAATTCACTTATAACCATTGCTAATAAGGATGTTCTGAACAACAAAATTTATTTCATGGCTTAGGATATCAAGTTTCATTTCTCTGGCCTGCTCAGCTGTCCATACGGTACCAGTGGTTTTCCTACAGCAAACGAGACTGTACAGGTGTTAAGATTGTGTTGTAGGGTGGCAGTGCACATTGTTGAGCCATTTCATTTCGCCTTATCCTCCCCCTGTTGTAAAGTAGCTGCCCATTCAAATTTCTTGGCTTTACTATCCTAAATTAACCTAATCGCCCAATTCCTCAAACTGAACATTCTGCGGTGTGAAAGGTCAAAGGTCAGGTGAAGATGTGCAAAGGCTGCCACCCCCTGCTCTTCCTCCTCACATTCCGAGTGCTTCCGGTACCTCGTAGTTCCACTCCCGAAGACTGGGCCTGTGATTTCTGTCCTTCCTCCTCCTTCTCCCTCAACTGCCTCTCTGTTTCTGACTTTTTATTTTAGTCGTATAAAACATACTAATTGTAGAAAAATTTGAAAATTTAGAAAAGCCCATAAAGGATAATAAAAATCTCCCAGAGTCACATTGTCTAGAGATTATTACTGTTAAGGTTTTAGTGTATATTCCCGTCATCCACACAGCCTCTTAGCTGTAAAAACATTCACACAAAACTGGAAAGATATGTATCACAATGTTTTTATACACATTTTAAACACATCTACACATAGACACATCCATATATATGTATACAAACACTCATGTGATCCTACGTGTTATTTTTAGAAAGGCAATTGTGGCCCTTTTTCTCATTTTTCCCATATACCCCCCAGCATATATATTCCTTTATAAATTGTTTACTTTTAGCTTTTGCACATTAAAAATAAAGTCAAACTTATAGAGCTATAATTTACGTAGAGCAAAATGCACCCATCTCAGGTGTAAATTTCTGCGTTTTGACAAATATAGTCACATAACCATCACCAGCACTATCAACATATAGAATATTACCATCACTTCAAAAAGTTTCCTCAGGCCCCTTTGCAGTCACTAGTCCCCTCCCCCATCCCCATCCCCTTGTAACCACTAATCAGATTTGTCTCCTACAGTTTTGTCTTTCCAGAATGTCATCTAAATGATACTATGTAGCCGTTGTATCTGCCATAATGTCCTTTTAATAAAATTACAGTAAAATAAATTAGATACTCCACAGGTCGGTGAGGAATTTTACCAGGATACAGTGAACAGGAGGGAAACAGTATCTGTGTATGTTCTTGGGGTAGTGTTGACGGAGAGACTGACACCAGGGAGAGCTATCATATTTTTAGTGAGGTGCTCTCTTTCTAAGGATGATCGTTAAGCCAAGAAAACTGGTTACCTTCTTCATTATCCCACTTTTTTGTCATTAAATGTTTATTGTTTAGCAGAAGTCATCAAAATCATTTGAATGTACAGCGTAATGACCCTATTCTTGCAAGAAATTACTCAGTGTCAACTTAGTAAACATAGCCTGCCTTTTCCTCAGTGGATAACTTTTTATTTTAGTTTACTTATATAAGTAGTTGTGGAAGATGATTCTGCATAGTTAGAATTTTTTTCCAATACTTTTCTGTAGTTTTTCAGGGGTTGCTAAACATTTTAAGTGTATGTTTTTAAGATAAATGTATTTGCTATACAATGGAGCTATCCACTGGATCTCCCCCATCTCCTCCTACCCCAGTGAAGCATCTTATGAAATTTAAGAATTGAAACTGCATTGGTTGCTGCTGTCGTGGGTAAAAGCTCTTGCATTAATAATGAGTAGGCTCTTACAACATGGAGATACTGAAACCTACATTTTTTTCCTGGTTACAAGTGGAATATATGCTTCCGTGAACATTTGAGACATAGAAAGTAAAAATTCTCTGTACTTTCTCCATGAAAATCACAGTTAACAGTTTGGTGACTATTCTTCTAGTTATATTTTTCCAATTCATAATGTGTGTATAGTATTATTAGCTAAATATGTAAATGCTTTAGGGATTATGTCATTCAGAAATTATAATAAACAAGTTTCCTTTCCCAGCACTCTTTCTGGGAGATAAAATGGTGCTGTCTCTATTTCGTGTGTGTCAAAACCAGACTCTTCACTTCGAGACCTAGATATCCTACCTGGAGAGCACTTCCACGATTCTGACTTCTAATCCCATGTGGTTCCTGTTTGTCTATGGTTTTTTGCTGTGCTTTTAGACCACAAATACTGTTGAAATTAATAGTGGTGTCTTACTACATGTGACTTTCAGTAACAACAAGAAGGAAGTGCTAATGTTTTAGACTTTTAACAAAGAGGTGGTTACTGGGCTTTCCAAGTGACAGGTGCAGAATTACTTCAGAGTTTCTGTCGAGGTGGTGTTTTGGGGGAGTATACCCAGGCTAGACCTTAGGGCTTCCGTATTGCCTGACTCCAGGGAGGAACATTCTCTTGTTCGGGTGTACTCCAGGGGTGCCATTCACAGAGAATTCCTTGTGATTGTGCCTCTCAGGTTGTGCAATGCGGTAGTGCTGCTTCACTGTAAATCATTTTGTTATAAAATTGATGCAAGTGGGGGACTTGAGTTTGTTGATGTTTCTCAGTGTGTGGTTGATAGAAAATGCCATTTTTGTTGTAACGACGGGTGCGGGTGGATTTACTGTGAAGCTAATGAAACATAAGTGGTAGACCCCTCATTTTTTTTAGACCCCTCATTTTTATAGCCCTCTTTCAATGTACTGGGCAGGGTTCTAGCCGTTTTTATATTTGTAATCTTGTATTTTTTTTTCTCAAAGAGCCACCCCCCCGCCCCACCGTTGAGCTTCAGGTCCGACAGATCTGCATCTGAGGGGCTGAGAGGTCCCAGTGCATTGAAACTTAAGCCTATTTAACTTCATTGTAAATCTGCCCCTAGTTTTTGAATATGCGTTTTTGTGTGGACTTATTTCCATATAGTCCCATAATAAACATATGGAAGCATACACCATGGATGGGAGAAAGATAAGTCAGAAATTGCTCAGGACATATCCTAGTCATATTCCCAATCCATTCCATGTAGAGCCTGTTGGCTGGGCTCCCTGGACAGTCTAGGCGACATTTCTCTCCAGAAGCTGACCCTGTCCAAATCTTTGCTGGCATCTCCCCTTCTTTTGCTTCTAGATTCGTGGTACAGGTAAAAGCAACGGGCGGGAGTTACACATCGCGTATCGGTACGGAGAGCACTACGACAGTGTTCGGAGGATCAACGACAACTCAGAAGCTCCTGCACATCTCCAGACCGATGTGAGTGGGGCCTCTGTTCCCAAGTGTGTTCTCAGCTCTGGAGGAACCAGGTCAATAGCTGGGCGCCTGGAGCTAGAAACCAGTGGTGTTTTTTTGGAAAGTTGCCTTTAAGGATGTGTGGGCTTGATTTAAAAAATTTTCTAAGCTCAGGTGAGAGAGAAAGATAAAATTGCTTGTCGTCCTTTGCTTTCCTTAAAAGCTGATAGCTATGATTATGTGAATATAATTTGTATAAAACTTTGAATTACTTTTATGTTTAATGTGTTTAAAATTACGCTTTGTATCTAAAGTTTGGAAACTAGAAAAAGTAAAGAAGAATAAAAGGTACACAACATCAACTACGTGGATACAATTTTTGTTGTCATTTTGTATTTGTATAGCTTTGTTTCCTGCTTTTTAAAAGTTAACATTATTGCATAAGTGTTTTCTCATGTTATTTTACACTTTCTTAGTAATCTAAAAAAAAATAACTAAAAAATTATTTCTCGAGTAGCTAATATTTATCCATAGGTCAGAATTAAAAATGTATAACAGGATATAGAGTGAAAGTCCCTCTCCCACCCCAGTTCCCTCCCTGGATGCACCCAGGGTTACCAGTATAGCATAAAATCTAGTGACATTTTATATATCGAGTAACTATGTGTGTATGTATGCATATTCCTCTTTTTTAATGACGGCACAGTATTCTGCTGTATGGACGCATTATAATGTGTTGACCAGCCCCTTACCGATGGACTCTCTGGAGGCTTTCAGGCTTCTGCTTTTACCAGCAGTATACATCTTTTCACACAAATGTGAGTGTATCTTTGGGATAAAATCCTGGAAAGGCCCTACTGCATCAAAGGATGTGTGCATTTATAATTTTCAAAGGTATTGCCACATTGCTCTCGGTAGAGGTTTTACCAGTTTTTACTCCCACTTGCAATATGTGTCTCTTCTTGCACCTTTGCCAGCACAGTGCTATCAAATTTTTAAATCTTTGTCGGTGTTAGGGAAAAAATTGTTTTCCTAACAGTTTACATTTGTATTTGTCTTATGAGGGAGTTTATGCACCTGTTCCTGAGTTTACGACTTACCTGTATTTCCTTTTTTGTGAGCTGTATTCATTTTCTTTGCCCATTTTTTTTTTCTATCACGTTTCTTAATGATTTTTTAGGAGCTTCTTATATATTAGGGAAATTATTGGCCTCTGTTATGAGTTGCAAATATTTTTTTCACAGTCTGTTGTTTAACCTTTTTTTTTCCCTATGGTTTTTGCTATAAAGGAATTCTTGATTTTTATGTGGTGAAACTTATTAAGTTTTCTTACATGTCTTCTGGGTTTTGAGTCATAATTAGGAATGTCTTTCCCACTCTAAGGTTAACACAGAGTTCTCCCATAGTTTATTTTAGTACCTTTATGGTTTTGTTTTTTAAAAAATTTAAATCTTGTCTCTATTTGGAATTTATATTCATATAAAGGTGTGATATTTGGCTCCAACTTTATATTTTTCCTTGTGGTTACTTTGTTATATCAAAACCATTTATTAGTTATACATCTTTTCTTCACTGATTTAAAGTGACTTTTTTTCATATACTAAATTCCCATGTGTATTTGGGTCTATTTCTGGACATTTGGGTCTGTTCCACTAGTTTCTCTGCTCATGCGTTAATGTGTTCATTTAGTTGGTAAGAGTATATTTTAAAATCTGGTAGAATTTTTTGCTCATCATTACTTTTTTTGGTAATTTCCTACATTCTTGCTTTTTAAATATACATATATGAACGTTAGAATAAATTTTCTTGTCTAGTTTAAAAGAAGTCCTGTTCATATTTGTTTTTATTGAGGTCTCATTTAATTAATAGGTTAACTTAAGGAAAAATATACATATTAGTAATGTTGAATCTTCCTAGCCAAGAACCTGGTAAACTTTATTTGTTTAATTGACTTTTTTGGTGATCTGTAGGAGCATTTTTTCCATATAGACTGCCCATATTTTGTTGAGTTTATTCTTGGGTGTTTTGTGTTTTCTGTTCCTCTTGTAAAGAAAGGATGTTTTTCTCGTTTATATTTCCTAGCCGATGATCATTTGTATATATGAGAATTATTAATGAAATGTTAATAACATGCATACCTGGCTGTCCTACAGGATTCTTTTTTTAAATTGAGCTAAAGTGTACATAATATAAAATTAACCATTTAAAACTCTACAAGTCAGTGGCACACAGTACACCCACAAAGCTGTGCAGCCAGTTCCTCCAGCTCCAAAACATTGTCATCGCCCCTAAAGAAAACCCCTTGCCCATTAAGCAGTCAGTCTCCATTTTCTTTCTTCCCCAGCCACCGCCAGTGTACGTTCTGTCTTTGTGGCTTTACCTGTTCTGGGCAGTTCGTAAAAATGGAATCACACAATTCATGGCCTTTTGTGTCTGGCTTTCACTTAGCATACTGTTTTCAAGATTCATTCTATTGGAGCACATATCAGTACATCGTTCCTCTTTTTTTTTTTTTTTTTAAGAGACCTAATAATATTTCATTGTATGGATATACCGCATTTCATTTATCCATTCTGCTGTTGGGCATTTGAGTTGTTTTCACCTTTTGGCTATTGTGAATAGTGCTGTGATGAATATTTGAGTAAAAGATTTGAGTACCTGTTTTCAGTCTTTTGGGTACGTACCGAGGAGTGGAATTAGTTGGGTCATGTGGTAATTCTGTGTTTAACTTTTTGAGGAACGGCCACACTTTTTTTCACAGTAGTTGCACCAATTTACATTCCCAATGGTAATGTTTTGAGGGCTCTACTTTGTCTACCTCCTCACCAACATTCATTCATTCATTCATTCATTTAAAGTTATGGCTACCCTGCTAGCTGTGGTATCTTGCGGTTTTAATTTGCACTTCCCTAATGACTAGTGATGTTGAACATCTTTTCATGTGTTTCTTGGCCTTTTGTATCTCAGAGAAATGTCTAGTCAAGTCCTTTGCCCATGTTTTAACTGGGTTTTTTGTGCTTTTGTTGTTGAGTTGTAAGAGTTCTTTACATATTCTGTTTATTGGATTCTTATCAAATATGTGATTTGCCAGAATTATTTTTGTTTGTAGTAGTTTTCGTTTGATGTTTTTTTTTTAGGTATAGAATTATATCATCTGTTAATAGTGATAACTTTTCTTCTTCTTTTTTTATTTTATACTTCTAATTTTTCTTTTTTTGGCTAATCCATTAATTATTATCTCTCAAACGCTGTTAAATAACAATAATAGTAGTGGAAATCCTTACTGTGTTTCTTATTTAATGGAAGCAAAGCATCGTTTTGTGGACTTACCACAGTTACCTAACCAGCTTACACTGTGAAACCGTCAGGTTGTTGCCAGTTATTCACCACTGTTAGTGGCACTGTCATGGGCACTTTTACATAAATCCTTTATGTACATGACAGAATTTCAAAGAATCTTGATATACATATTGCCAAATTGTTAGGATATAATTTTGTAATGGGTCGCTTTTTATTAACACTCTAAGGAATGTACTGCATGCTGCTGGATTCCACTTTTACATGCAAAAACAAAACTCTCCTTGCCCGTTTCCCATCCGCCTGCATTAGTAGGAAGCAGAAGCAGAAGGTGATTGGGCAGCCATAGAGTGATGATTGTAGCTTTTCTGATTTAGGCTTAGGTTGTAAAGGCCTTGTGGATACTAAGTGAACAGCTCTTTGTGGTTTTAGAATTTGGATTGAATGGTTCCCTTGACTGTGGTGGCTGCACGTGAGGTTAGATGAGTCACGATCACCCGTGATAGTCCAGTCCGGATGGGAAACTTCAGCACATCAGAGCTTGCTGATGATCAGATAGGCCTAGGGAACCAGATGAGAGCTGCCTGTATGTTTCTTCAAGGTGAATTGTCCGGCCGCAGAGCTCGTCAGGTGCTAGAATAGAAGATCTTATTAAGCTCACGTTGCTAGAAATCAGCTGAAGCAAACGCGTGCTGTCTGAGTCAGCAATCGGGTCCGGGATGTTGGTGTCTAGGAGCCGTCGGAGCTCTGATGTCACTCTTATGAACAGTTCACCCCATGGCTTGGGCCTTTCTTTTTTCATACTTCTGTTGTGGCCCAGAATCTCAATGTCTGGATGAAATTTAGCCTGGTCATTGCCGTTCTCCTAAGATTGTTTCCGTAATCTTTTCCCTGTGTATGTAAACGTTTTGCAGATTAGCATAGTCTGCAAGAGATCCATGATTATTACTATTCATATTTCTTTTAGTTTCAGATGCTTCATCAAGATGAATCAAATAAAAGAGAAAAGAGCAAGATAGAGGGAGTCGACTATGAAGATAACCTGAGAGATGAAGTGGAAGATGCTGTCCAGAAAGTTTGCAATGCAACTGGCTGTTCAGTTAGTATTTCTGTCAAGTAGTAGTAATGGTTTATACATAAGCATCACTGTGTTGACTGGCTTGTTTCGTAGGCGCCCCTCCCCCACAGCCTGCCAACACCTGATAGGCCAAAATAGGTCCATGATATTTGTAATTTGATGAGGTTGTGTGATACAACTTAATGAGAGCTGTTTATTCATTTCTCTCTCGTTGCTAGACGTTATCCAATACTACTCAAAAATCCTAAGGAAGTATGTGGATTTAGTTTTTTTCTGACTTGTGTTTATAAAAGTAAAAGAGCATTTTATACAAGTAAATGAGCATTTCATTTACATTAACTGGTTATTCAATAAGGTTACCAGCTTTATTGAAAATTGACATTTTCTAAATGGAAAAGATCTTGAAACCTTGTCTCAGTCTCACTGTTACATCATTTTGTTTATCAGATTGTTGAAGTAGAGAGAGATAGAAAAGTATATCCAGAGTTTTGAAGTATTCCTTTGTTTCTTGGACAGGATTTTAATTTGATAGTCCAGAACCTGGAAGCTGAAAATTATAATATTGAATCTGCAATAATTGCCATGCTACAGATGAACCAGGGGAAAAGAAATAGTAAGTCCATGATTGTTATTCATAGGCTTTCAAGATTATTGTATTGGTGATTTTCCAAAAATTTATTTTTAATTAAGTCACAGGTAATAATTTTACTGTCATTCATTCAGTAATTGTTTATTGAGTACTTTCTGTATGCAGGCATTTTTTACTAGGTCCTAGGTCTGCATCAGGGAGAGTATAGTCTGGGGGTGGGGTGAAGACAGATAAGTAAACTGGCACGAGAATATATAATGGAGTTAGAGGTCTAAGGTGCTAGGGGAAGGCGTGAAAAGGCCATGTAACCCAGTTTTGGAGGGATGGAGAGTATCAGGGAAGAGTTTATTTTTTTGGAAATAGATTCTTTATAAAACCAAAATGATAACTAAAATTGAACAGAGAGAATTTTTTCTGATGAAAATATTTAGATTACTAGCATCTATCAACTCTTGATAATTCAGAATTATTTTTACTTGAACTGAGTTTAATTTTATGACACAGAGAAAGGAAAAAGATGTGACATCTTAACTGTTTTCTCAAGTCACTTATTTAAAATGATTTCAATACTTATTGCAGATAAGTATTTCAATACTTATTACAGATATTATGTGCCAGATACTGTTCTTGGCATTATAGTTTTCTGTGTGATGGGGTATTTTATTATCCACGCTATATATTTACTGTGCCTTCTTAGAAAGTAATAAGTAACTTAGTCATTGTGAGTTTAAAATAACACTATCCAGTATCTTTGCTATCCAGTATGGTATGTACTTGACATGTGGCTAAGTGAGACCGAGGAATGAAATTTAAACGTTATTTAACTTTAATTTTAATAGCCACATGTAGCTTGTGGCTACTGTATTAGATAGCATAGCTTTAGAGCCTGTCTCTTTTCTAGTTTTATGGGTGCAAATGAAAGATTCTCCCCTAAAAATTCATATTAAAGAGTGGTTTTATCCAATGAAACAGAACACTGCTGGTGAGAAGCCGATGATAAGACTGGTCAACAGGTTATTTTAAAATTTATCTTCCAAATTATACCAATTTTTTTTCTCCTGTATTTACCACTCTGTTGACTTGATATTAGAATTTGCTTCAAGGAAATTTGCTGTTCAGATGATAGTGATCTAGGGATCCAGGTAAGTTTGGAGTCATTTAACAGTAATTGAATTGTGTAACTATCTTAGGTTCTCAATTTTAATAAAATGTCTTTCTTTGGAAGATGAAGAGGAGAACCTCAAGTCCAGTGGCCGAGTGCTTAAGCAGAGTGGCCCTTTATGGGAGGAGGGTGGCAGTGGCACCAAGATCTTTGGAAATCAGGGCTTAAATGAAGGCAAGACCGAAAACAATAAGGCGCGGGCCAGCCCTAGCGAAGAAAACAAAGTGAATAAAAACCAGCTCCCAAAGGTATGAAGGGATGAGTCTCAAAGGCAAATGGTGGGCCGCTGTAATATGTTGGCAGTGGTGGGAATGTGGAGCTCATTTTAATGCATAATTTTCTTTTGATTAGTAAAAGTAGTTATTGTAGAAAATATGGGGAATGCGTAAAGGTGTATCAGGAAGCAGAATGAAGACCTCGCTTGTCCTGTTTGGTGTACACAGGGACCGTTGGAAGGAAGTACACGCTGAATTGTACCGTGCGTCCACACATATCCTCCTCCTCCCAGCTGACGTTACTGTGTGCATGGGCCGTTTCCACGTTAAGCCACGTTACATAATTCCAATTTTTATAAATACCATCATCTCCAATGAACACCTGCATAATTTATTTGTATAAATCTTTCTATTTTGCATTGTTTTCTTGGTTAGAGTCCCAGAGAGGACTTGACAGGTTAAAGGGCATGGACACTTGACTCTTTTTAAAGCTTTTTGGTAAGTCGTCAAGTGCTTCCGAGAAAGATTGTACATCTCCCTCTCCGCGCGCTACTCACAAGCAGTATATGACACCATTCATTTTACTGAATTTAGAATTCATTTTGAGACTTTCACCAAGTTCTGAGCTCAAAGTGCAACGTAATGTAAAAAGCCACAGGCAGAGGCAAAAATGCAATAAGCTTCTGAGGAGTTTGTTAGGATTACCTGGGGCATTAAATTATGTAGAGAAAGGTGTCCTGTGGCACATTCGAGGGTTATCTCCTGCTGGACTGGGGTTAATGTTTTTTCAGGGCATTTTGAATTGGTTTATGAGAAGAACGGAATTGATTTTGTTTGCTAGCTCAGCACGGGGATGTAAATTTAAATGTAAATTGAGCCGTAATGGAAAATAAATCACGTTTGGTCTCTTATGTGGGATTTCTCTGTTCCAATTGAAAGGCAGGCTGTGCATCTGTCAACACTGCATCTCCCTTCAGCAGGTGGCAGCCTGAGTCAGCCGAGCTGGTGACTCACCCAACGTCTTCTCTTCTAGGTCACAAACAAACAGAGGAGAGAGCAGCAGCGACTGGAGAAGAAGAAGCGACAGGAGGAGAGGCACCGCCACAAAGCCCTGGAGAGCAGGAGCAGCCACAGGGACAGCCACCGGAGCGAAGCAGATGCGAACGCGCAGGTCACCTTGGTGAAGACCTTTGCGGCTCTCAACATCTGAGTCTGGTCCGCTGGGAGTTGTAGGAAGCGAGTGGAAAACGGAGTGCTGCGTACCAGGCCTTCCCGCGGGGCCGTCCTTACGAAACAGCCCACGGAGCCCACACATAAGCTCACACTCTGAGTTAGTGCCCTTCAGGCTGCCTCTTTATTGTTCAGAGTTTTGTTAGTAGTGTGTTTTATTTTATGAAAGTGCAGCGAAGCCATTCATGTTCCGTAATTAAAATATTGAGTTTTAGGGGTAGATAGTTCGATCAGGAAAACCTTTGAAGTGTGGTTTTATTTGCCCTGAAAATCACAGTTCAGTGACCCTGGGATCTTTCCTTAACACTTGGGGTGAGTTTTGCCGTAATCGTTCATGAGGTCATTTAGAGTAGATTAATTGCTAGAAATTCAGAATGACAAGTTTCCTTTGTTTCTCTTTCATTTTCAAACAGACGTATTAATGTACAGGATAGTTTATAAATGACCTCCAACTCAGGAACATGTTTAGATTTAATATTCTTTTAGTCCAGGTTAATCAGAAAATAATTCAGGAAGTGTTCTACCCAAGTAATATGACATAGGGACTGGGGCCTGTAGTCAAGGTGGCAGTTGAACAACTGCATCTCTCTCCTTCCTGATTCTGACATTATTTCAGATGGGGCGCAGGTGCTGTCCGTTTATACTCAAGCCATATGATCTATGTATCTGACTGTTAATTAGGCCTGGGCTTTGCTGGAAAAGCGATAGTGTTGTTGAGTTTTTGGTACTTGTTTCTTGTTATGATACGGTTCCGGGATTCTCATAGTTTGGGGAGCAGAATCTATAGTTGTAAAGGGATTCTTGAGTGTTTGCCTAGGAAGAGTCTAAAGAGTTATTTGATTTTATAGGGAGAATGGAAGAATATCTAAGATTGCTCATGTTCTCATTTTAAGCAACTGTATTTTCCTCCTTACTTCTCTAGACTTAGATGCCTTCCAAGAAATAAAAGGTTACTTGACCTGTTGCTAAATTTTCTTAGTATTGTGAAAATGAAATCCCATAAGATGCTGCATTTTTTTTCTTTTTTTATTTAAACGCTGTTTGGGATTCTGATGTTAGAGAGACTCTCCAGCGCCCACCACAAGTGGTCAGTGACTGAGGTTACACCAGCAGGGCAGGGGACTTATTTTGGCTGAGGACGTTGAGTGGCTCTGCAATTCTAAAGTAGACACGTTTGGGCTGTGGGGATATGTCATTTCTAAAACTGAGTTAGGTGGATAGGAACTTTAAAACCGTGATGTCTCAAGTGGCCAGACTTGGACAGTTTTTGCCTAATATTTAGACAAGATACACTGAAACAAAAGGTACATCATTAGTTACCTCCCCCACCTCCAATTTCAAAAATTTTAAAGTTTAGAGGTAAAGGGAAAACAAAAAGTTTTGAGTTGTGTGGGCCTATCGTCTGGGCTGGCCCTGGGCTCATTGAATTTGTCTTTATCAGTGAGCGATTTGCTTTCTTTGGTTTTAATGATGTATTTTAACTTTTTGCTCTTTTTACTATGGTGACTTTTTGTGGTTGGAGCATCAGTTGTCTCTAGGAATTGTTCCCAGGACATGTGGTTTGGGCTCCTTCCTGGGGCAGTACATTGTACCTGTTAGCAGGCTGAGAACAGCACAGCCTTTTTCTCCTGTTCCTTACGGAGTCCTGAGTTCGAGGCTTTAGAACTCAGTCCAGACAGGTGAAGGGTCTCCGTTATCCGACTGTCTCCAAGGGAGTGAGGTCCGGTGCTTTAGGATCTACTGTCTCTTGGCTTTCAGCTCTGAGCAGATTCCGAACTGTGGCTGAGCTTTTCCGAATGAACACCCTTTCTTGTCTGTTTTGAACTACGAGAGTGCAGGAGACTAGATTCTCTCAGGGGGTCAAGATTGTATACCAGGAATTCAGCATAATTAGGAGTCAGAAATAGCTTAAGGGAGACCCATGGTCAGAGGTTTTATTTACTTGGTTAATGGACGTGGCCTTGAGCCCCATTGGGTTTTAGAAGTTTTTGAAGCTGCTAAAAAGTTAATAAAGAATATCTGCACATTTATTTAGAAATTACCTAATTCTACCTAAGAACCTAATAACAGGCTTCAGCATGTCTGGGGTAAAATAACAGTGGTTTTAAAAACTAATCAAATTGCTTCAGTAATTTTCTTTTATTACTGCTTTGTAGCTTTCCAGTTACAATTGGCCTGTATTTCGTACATTAATTATTGGGAATGGGGTACACATGTCCAGCTTCAGTGGCATCTTCTGGCTAAGGATTTGAATTTAGACCTCACTGCCTCAGTCTCACCGGAATACAAGGTGGGTAGAATCCTCACACTTAGCCGCCGGAGGAGACACTTGAAAATGACTTTATTGGCAGCCAGAATGGAGGCCCAGCACGTTCAGTCCTGGATGGCTATTGTCAGCAGTCGTTCCTCGTACAGCTACTCACGTGCCCTCCATAGTAGGAAGTGCATCTTTCTTCATTCACTTGTGTGACATGTTGGCCGTTAGAGATTAATGTCACACAGGATCGTCTTGGTAGCTTTTAGTGAGGCTGGGAGAAAGGCATGGGGCAGCGGTCCACGCTGCTTACTAGTCTTATAAACTGTATATAAAGGCTTTATGGATTTTAAAACAAGAATTTTTAAAGATTAAAATAAATAAAATTGTAGTGGCAACAGCTTTGTACTAGAGGGATAGATATATTATAACAATGTAGAACCACACTTTTAAGTAACATAGTTGCCACCAGGAGATATTAGATAGGATGTGTAAGTATATTTAATTTTTCAATAATATGAACATATGCTTTCAGGAGCACTGGTTGGGGAATTGTGGCAGAAAGAAGAATCTTAAAGGTTAGTCAAGGTTGTCTGTAGTTTCTTTCATAACCTCTGAAAACACTTGCAAACCCATTTTGATTCTGAGGGCGTGTGAAGTGCCATCGCCCTTGGGCATTTAGAGCTGGCTTGCGGAGGTAATTTAAAATGCCCAGCCCTGCTTCCCTGGGGAGCTTTTACAGTGTGATATGATATGGTTGGGGGTGGGAGGGAGGCCCTGTTAGTGGGGGACAGTTGCTCGCAAAGTAAGGAGGTGGGTATCAGATGGACATCGGCCTTGAACTGTACTCGTAGTGAGTCCCTGCCGTCGATGTGCAACTTCTCTCATTCTGAGACACTCTAGACTCTGCCTGGGTTTTACTGGGTCAACATAGAATGCGATCAGTTTACCTCTGAAGCGTGCAACCTGAATAGTCAGTCGGTTGAAGGAAACTTGGATCCCTAGTCAGAGCTGACGGAAGCCGCCCTGGGCCTCGTGGGCGGAGTGAGAGCGTCACATGTGTGGCCCTCTCTGACTCCCGTTTTGGGTAGACACGTAGCTCTTTGCCTTTTTACCTCAAGACTCTATAGCGAACCTTTAGACTCAGAGTCCGATGCAGTTTTTCCGTTTTGCCATTGTCGTTAATCAGTTTCATCTCAGCTTTCAGAACAGGTGTTGCTAAAACTCTGGGGCCTTCTGACAGTTGTTCTGAGGTGATGTAATCATGGCACTTTTTACAAGGTGTGTTTTCCTGACTCTCAAGCAAATGGTATTTTTCCACCGATGTTGCATTGAAGATCTAGATAGGCATAATTAAATTATAGCAAATTTTTTGCCATCTCCAGTTGGAGGGGCAAGTGGATAATTGGTTTCAGGTGGAGATGTTGAGCACCAGTCACAAAGTCCTCGCACAGTGTGGGACCCACAGCATGTTCCACGGAGCCCAGCCCCAGGGAGGAGCTGGGCCTTGTCGACTGCCTGGGTCGCTCTATACCCAGGTAGATTCTCTGAGAAAACTTCCCGCTCTTAATCATTTCCTCTAAGGGGTGACTTTCTAGAGTCTCTCTCTCTCCTAGTTAGGACTACTTCGTATGCGGTTAAAATGTTTAGCATCCTTGCAAAGTCACTGGAGAAGGAGGCGGTACCAGTAATGAATATATTTATGTAAAAGCATGAACTCCTGCTTGGCGACTTTGTTTTAAGCAGGGCATGCCCATGGTGCAGATCGCCGCTCACCGTGCTGGCGGTCAGGGGAGGCAGTGATCACTGGGCAGCACCCCTGGGTCCGTCCCGATCCTTCTCATGTCAGCACCCAACAGGTCACCATTTCCAGCCGTCCATGACAATCATTTGAGCTCAGTCACAGACCTCAGCCTGCAGTTCGATCCCCTGGCACGTCCCTTGACCAAAACTGGGGGAATGCTGGTGCGGGGCTCCTGACATCTTTACTCCCTCATTCGCTCTCCCTGGAGAGAAGGGCCCTCGGCCTCCCAGCCCCCCTTCCAGCACCTCCCACCCACACCGAGCTCAGTGACAAGAAGAAAAGAGCCAGGAGTCGGACTTCAGACCTACATGTTCCTCTTGCTGACGTAGAAGTGCCGGCGGGCGTCAGTCCCTTCGCGAGGGAGGGCAGGTGTGTCTGGAGAACACGAGGGTCTTCACAGGCTCAGGAACCTTCTCTTTTTTCTGACTGCACTAAACGTGTTCTAGCTTCGGCCTGGAGATGTGTAAGACCTCCATGGGGTCATGATCCATAGACTCAGCGAGCCTTGCCTTATCTATGGGCTCGACGAGGAGCAATGTGACCATCGTCTGACGTCCGTAGCCCATACCCTCTAGGTTGTTTTTTTCCACAGATTGCGTTACTCTGAACCATTTTATTTTTTATTTACCAAAGTACTGTACTTGGCTATTTGCAGTGTTTTCAAAACCAAATGTTTCTTTTTTTGTGTTTTTAATCTTCAATACTTGGTGCAATAGAAGCTGCAGAGATGTGCCACTTTATCTATGAAATGGAGTTTTGTATACCAATAAATTCTAGTTTAAAGACAGAGTTGCAAGTTTATTTTTGTCACTATCTGACCACTGTTCGAGCGCGTGAGTCTGAGAGAGCCTCTTCGCGAAGTGTCCTTTTTAGAGACTTCTGCACGGAAGGTGTGTGTGTGTCCGGTTGAGTGCTGTCCCAGTGTGTAGTTGTTGGGCGTCTCGCTGAGCTTCAAGCAGCGGACTGTAGCTTTGGTGGGTCTGCACCGACCGGCAGAGCCACCCTTAAGGACGGCACACTCACGATTTCTGCTTGGTACATAAGGACACTGATAATTTGGAGTGTCTAGATTCAGAGCAGCTGTCTGGCTGCCACCTTGGGGTTTCTCTAGAACTCAGGGTTGGTTTGACCCCATTCTAGGAGAAGGTGTACTGTCAGACACACCTGGACAGCAGTGACTGGAACCCGGGCTTACCTAGAAGAGGTCCTCAGTGGGGAAGGGTGGCCACCGAGAACCAGAGGGAGGGGAATCCCTCAGCGTGTCCAGCAGGGGCCCAGCCCACACCAGGGCTCTGGTCAGTCTCAAGGTCAAGACTGGTGCGGTCACCGGGCCTCGCCCTGACTGCGAATTTGGCCTCGAGACTCCCACTCTCTTGTTTAATTTTGTACTCATACAGCAGCCCTTGAATGGACGCTGTGGTACTTTGATAATAAAAGGTATCTAGTACCACGGGGGAGGAAAGAATTCGGCTACTGGCCAGGCGGTTCTTCCGCAGTCTCTGTTCTCGTGTGATTTTCACCTCATTCTGTGACACAGACCTCTGGGTGCACAAACACTTCCCAGCTCCTGAGCCCGTGAGGCCCAGGTTCTGGACCCTGTAAACCCAGCTGAGATTCTTTCTGAAAGATCCTGCCTAGGACTAAAGTGATGTCCTTATTTCATCGTCCCCTCCCCCAGTTGGGAAACTTTGGTGGCCTCCTTCATTCTGTCCTGACAGTGATTCAGCCAGGGCCAGGGGGCCACCTCGCTAGGTCAGGTGGTGGTGGAGGGACTTCCTGCCTGGGTTTAGGTGACCTGAAAGGTCCTTTCTGTGAGATCTGATGTCTGTAAGGACAGAAATGTTCCCATGCCAGGAAGGGAATAATTTTAAAAACCAAGGTTTATTATTTATATTTTCCTCTAAGCTACAGTCAGCATTGCTGACTCTGGGTGAGTACAGTTTATGAAGCCAAAGATGGAAATACCATAAGGGGGAAAATGGCTCTTGGTAACTGCTCGTGGTTGCCTAAGAGAAAGCCGGCTGGAAAACCAGGTTTTAAGTTACCTGTTCACGAGACACACCACCAGCCCTTCCTCTTAGCACACAGAAGTAGGTACGTGTGCCTTGATAGACAATCAAAACGTGTCGGAAACCGCTCTGTTCCAGCATAGTTTTGACTGGACTGCTGGACAGAGTGAGCGTTCTTGGACCACGGTGATGCAGTCTTAAAATTTTTGTTTGTTTGTTTTTTTTGTTTTTAAGAATCAAGACCAATCCTTCCTTCTACTTCACAGATTCTGTCTTGGCAGAAGGAGAAGTTTTCCACCTTGGAGATACTTGTCCCAATCACCCTGTGGTAGAGAGACTTAGCTATCTCAAGATACTCCATTTTTATTCAGTGTATTCGCCCACCCAAACATCCAAGAATCCACCCACATTTCTCGAACCTGTACTGTGTGTACAGGCCCTGATTTCTGGATGTTGAATCAGAAGTGGACCCTGTCCTCAAAAAAGTTTCTGGTCCAGGAGTGAAAGTGGACATGCCACTTCAGAAGAACACTCAAAAGATTTGGTGGAGAAAGTGACATTCGGCCTAGGCATGAAAGGGAGGTAGGATGTGGAAATAGGGAGCAAAGGCATTTTGGTCTGAAGGACCAGCATAAACACAATCCTGTACAGAATTTGTTAAGGATATGCAATTAGTTTGGAGAGAGACTGGGAACTTCTTCAAATGCTTGCCGGGCACCTTTTGCTACTGGGAGACAAATGCTTTTCTTGCCGAATGAATCCCAAAGATCAGGCGTGCTTAGCCTATTGCGACTGCCTCGTTTCAGTGTCAGGAGTTGGCCCATGTGTGTGTGTGCATTTTGACCTCGGACCACATCGCAGGTAGCAGCCCTGCAGGAAAAGTGTTGTGCACTGTCTGTCTCTCCAGCCAGTTTTGCCTCTGCCTCTGTGGCGACATCCGCTCAGGGCCCTGAAGGTTAATGATCTTCAAACACGTGTCCACTTAAGATAAATGAGCAGTCAGGGTAATGAGCCAAGGGGCTATTCAAATAAATTAGCATAATATTTATCATATGTATGATGTTGCTTCCCTAAAATAATAACAATTATCATGTGTCCATGGATTCAATTGAACAGATATTTATTTAGCATCTACGGTGTGATGGATACAATAGGGGAGACAAAAATATGTAAAGTGACCTAGCCTCGGGGCGGAGCTTCTATAATGCTCTAGGCACTTCGAATACATTATCTCATTTAAACCTTAAAACCACCCTGTAAGGCTGATTTTATCCCCGTTTTACACAGGAGGGAATAAATAACTGGTACAAGGTCATATATTTGAACCTGGGGCAATCTGCCCCTACTATATAGGAACCCAAAACAGGAATCCAGGAAAGGCATAAACACATTGGCAGTTCAGAGGAGAGAGAAATCTGCCCCAGTTGGAAAAACATTATGGGAAAGTTGGCATTTGAGATGTGCCTTAAAACACATGGCTTTGAACATGGCGATGAGGAGCCTGTGAACAGGGAAGCTTCTAGGTTGAAGGAAGGTATTTGCACAGAGATGTGAAGGCCAGAGGCATGTCCTAGGAATGGTGAGAAGCACAGAGAAATGCATACGGCTGAATAAACAAGGCTGGACAAGCAGGTGACACCAAGCTTGAATGCCAGGGATTGGAGGACAATGGGGAGCCTGATGGTTCGGAGGGCGGAGGAGTGATGTGACGCAACTCAAGCTGTGGGAAGATGAAGGTGGCATTGGTGGACAGGATGGAGACTGGATGGAGGATGGGGAGCTGGAAAGCCTTCGGTCCTGAAACACCAATCTTAACTCTGTCACGGCACTTAACTCGTGTGGGTTAACTGGTGGTGTCCGCCTGCCAGTTGGCCACATCTGGTTTGTCTATCTCAGCATTTGGCAAGGAGCGAAGAGCATGGATTATAGAAAAGCTTATTGAAGGAAAGGATGAACTTTAATACAGCATTCAGATCTCCAGCAGTAACGCTGCAAAGAACCCCAAAGAAGCAGACGAATGAAATCATAATTGGACTCTTAAGTTAATTCAGGAATTCCAATGTGATTTCTAACACTTATTCTGCAAGTTATTTAACTGAGTACTTTGTTAATAGCTTCTGTTAGGGGCTAAGTGGGAACAAAAGCAAAAACCAATCCAAATCCTGTTACCAAAATTGGAGAGGTAAGCTATGAAACATTCAGGTGACAAAGTCTCTTATCCAGCCTTGATGTAGCCC